TAGGGGGCTTGGTACATCTGAGGACTATAGAAGCCTGTGTGACCAAATTGCTGGGTGCAAGGGGCCCAGTGACATGAAATATGGTGGAGAGGTGGGCTGAAGCTGGAGCATACAGGTCTTGTCTAATCCTGGTAAGGCTTTGCGATTTCGTAACAAGGGTATGTTATGTCATAACAAGGAGAAGCCACCAAAAGGTTTTACATGGGGGAACTGTTGAGTGTGAACATTTCTCTATTTTTTTTCCTATGTGGTTGTAGGCTTAAAGGGTGTTTTTTTCCTCCTGCTATTTTTGGGATATAGTAACTGTCTGACAAGTGTGGAATGGACTGTCACCTGGGAGCTGTGGGGACCATACTCATGAAATGATTGGAAAGCAGGAAAAAAGACAGCAGGGACATTGGTGGAATAGGAAGAGTTTTGGTAGAGAAGGATGTTTGATATAATCATTTATTGGACTTGTATCAGATTGCAGACCCTCAAAAAGACGCTGCTAATGTCCTGAAGATAGGCTGGAAGGAGAACAGAGCAAAGGGGCAATTGAGTCAGGTAGAAGAGCACCAAGAAGGCTTTGTACATGAAATGAGAGTTGAGTTGCATTTTGAAGGAAGAACAGAACTTAGCTAGAGCAAGGCCTGAGTGAGGGTGGGGGATGGAGGAAGGAGAGAGAGAACTCTAGGTGAAAGAATCAGTCTGTGTGAAGGCATAGAGTAATAAAACAACAGGAAGGGTCCTGGAACAGAGAGAGCCAGAAGGGAGATGAGTCTAGAGAGGTTGTAAGGGAGTGAAGAGCAGATCCTGAAGGGCCTTCTGTGTTAGGAATTTGAACTTGAATCATTTATTGAGTGCATGCTCTGTACTAGGCACTAAGCTCAGTGCTTACATGCATTAGCCCACATTATCCTCATAATGAGGCACTATTATTGTGTTCATTCCCATTTTAAAAATGAGAAAAGTGAGTCTACATGTGTTAGAAATAACAAAAATAAAACAAAACTGAAAGTAACTAAAACCACATTGAGTCAAAGACAATAAGACTAGATAGAAATAATCAATCCCCACACTGAAACCATAGTGACCTAAAGTGCACATGTAAATTTTACAAATAACTAAAATTTGACAGAAGAAATAGGCATTTTTGCCAAAATTTACATCTGAAAAAAATTGATGCAGAGTAATCAGATCAGGAAATAAAGCACAACAGAACATTTATACTGGGAAAAGGAAGATTGGTAAAATTTGTTATGTATACAAGCTGATTGATAAATTATATTTTTACTACAGGAATTCAGAAATAAGAGTTTATTCCAACAAAAATAATTTCATGAAGTAGAAAAATAAAAATTGGAAAATTTAGAAAGAGTTTATAGTCTACAGAACACTGAAGATGGAGTGATGGAGTAAAATTGGCTTGACGGGGTCTACTCTAGAAGAATAGAAATGTTTATAGAACATTTTTCATTAGTAAAAACACAATGAAATTCAAGTAGGGGAGAGGGTGAGGAGGGAGGGGTAAGCTCTTACCTAATGGGAGCATTGTAGGGGGATGTGGCATACCTCTTGGGTAAAGGGCTCAACTACAACTTGGGCTTTACCTAACAAATGCAAACAATGTAACCTAATCATTTGTATTCATACATCTAAAATAAAAAAGAAAATATGTTCGAAATAATTATAGGATCCTTGGGGTCCAAATCATGGAATACAAATGCCCATTTACTTGGCTGCTATGGCCTAAAAGAGGAAGGAGGGAGGCAGAGTCCATGAGAGGTCCTTTAAGGAGAAGAATCATAGCAGATGAGAGATTTGGGCATTTACAAAAGGGGAGAATTTTTTGAAAGACTGCATTTGCAAACCAGAACATGTGTTTGGGTCACATTTCCACTAGTGTCCATTGCCCTATGTTACTGGCTTTCACCACCTATGTTGTCAAATGCTCAAGCCCAAAGACCTCCTCATACCTTGGCTGGGAATAATGGTGAGCACATTGTTTCAAAACAAAAAGTGACAGCTGTGAAGGCCATTTCCAAATTTCCCATGTGAGGAATGAAAGGTAGCTTGTAAAGGGGCATGTGAGATGTCTAAACGAGGCTCTTTGCTCCCTGAGCTCAGTGCAGAGTAAGTGGGCAGATCACAGCAGCAATGCTTTGTGTGGACTACTGTCTGCAGACAAAGGACCATTCAGAGTTTCTTGATGTATTCATAATGTCATCTTTACAATTGCCATTCTCTTTCACATTTCTTTCATAGAAAAGCATTACAAAATCTCCTTCAGATATCACAACTAATGCTAAAGTTTATAGACTGTGCACATGCTGTGTGGTATGTTATCATTAATTCAAACATGAAAATTTAAAAAAGAGCAAGCCTGGCCCATTAACTTCTACTAGTGCTTACACATTACAGGCCTACCTTGGAGATACTGCACCTTTGGTTCCAGACCACCACAATAAAGCAAATATTGCAATAAAGCTAGTCACATACATGTTTTGGTTTCCTAGTGCATATAAAAATTATGTTTACACTGTGATCTATTAAATGCTCAATAACATTATGTCTAAAAAATGTGTATACCTGGGTGACACCTATGGCTCAAAAGAGTAGGGCACCAGCCCCATATGCCAGAGGTGGTGGGTTCAAACCCAGCCCCGGCCAAAAACTGCAAAAAAAAAAAAAAATAGTATATACCTTAACTAAAAAATATTTTATTGCTAAAAATGTTAGTGATCTTATGAACTTTTAGGGAGTCATAATCTTTCTGCTGGTGGAGGATGCTGCCTTGATGTTGATGGCTGCTGAATAATCGGGAGGTGGTTGCTGAAGGTTGGGGTGGCTATGGCAATTTCTTCAAAGAAGACAGCAATGAAGTTTGCTGCACTTATTGACTCTTCCTTTCATGTACAATTTCTGTGTAGCATGGGATGCTGTTTGACAGCATTTTACTCATAGTAGAATTTCTTTCAAAATTGAAGTCAATCCTCAAATCCTGCTACTGCTTTATCAAATAATTTTATATAATATTCCGAATCCTAACGTGTCATTTTAACAATGCTCATAGCATCTTCAACCAGCAGTAGGTTCCATCTCAAGAAACCATTTTCTTTGCTTTTCCATAAGACAGAACTCCTCATTCATTCACTTTCTTTAAACATTTTATTATATTATTTTTCTTTTATTTTTTCTGCCTTCGTATGATTTGCAGGAAACTTTCATTCAAGTTTTATCTAGATTGTAGCAATTGGGTCACATCTTCAGGCTCCACTTCTAATTCTCTTACTGGTTTCATCACAACTGCATGACTTTTTCACTGAAGTTTTGAACTCCTCAAAGTCATTCATGAAGGTTGAAATTAACATTTTCCAAAGTCTTATTGATGTTGACATTTGATCTCCTCTCATGAATCATGAATGTTCTTAATGGAAGCTAAAATGGTGAATCCTTTCCAGAAATTTTTAAATCACATTTGCCAAGTTCCATCAGAGGAATCACTATATAGCAGTCAAAGCCTTATGAAATGTATTTCTTAAATAATAAGAGTTAAACAAGAAGTCAAAATTACTTCTTGACCAGGGGGTGCACAGTGGATGTTGTGTTAGAGGCAGGAAACAACATTAATCATGTACATCTCCATCAGAGATCTTGGGTGACCAGGTGCATTAACCAGGTGCTGAACAGTTATAATTTGAGAGGAATGTTTTTTTTTCTTAACAGTAGGTCTCAAAAATGGGCTTAAAATATTCAGTAAACCAGGTTATAAACAGATGTGCTGTCATTCGGATTTTGTTCTTCCACTTATAAAACACAGAATAGATTTAATATAATTTTTAAGGGCCCTAGGATTTTTGAAATAGTAAATGAGCATTGGTGTCAGTTCAAAGTCACCAACTGAATTAGCCCTTGACAAGACCGTCAGCCTATCCTTTGAAGCCAGGTATTGACTTCTATCTATGAAAGTCCTGTTTTGCCTACACTGAAAATCTTTTGTTTAGTGTAGCCACCTTCACCAATGATCTTAGCTAGATCTTAAGGATAGCATGCTGCAGCTACTATATCAGCACTTGCTACTTCACTTTGCATTTTTATATTATGAATATGGCTTTTTCCTGAACCTCATAAACCAACATCTGCCAGCTTCCTGCAGCTTCCTTATTTCTCAGCCTTCACAGAATTAAAGCAAGGTAGGGCCTTGCTCTGGATTAGGTTTTGCCTTAAAACAATGAAATGCAAAGCCCAGTCTTGAAGACTGAAAATAGTTGCAGCTATTTTTGATCTATCCAGACCACTAAAACTTTCTCTATATCAGCAATAAGATTATTTTACTTTCTTATCATTTGTGTGCTCACTAGTGTAGCACTTTTGATTTTTTTTGAGAACTTTTCCTTTGCATTCATAATTTGAGTAATTGCTTGGTGCAAGAGGTCTCACTTTCAACTGATCTCAGTTTTTTTCTCATACCTTCCTCACTAAATCATTTCTAGCTTTTTTGATTTAAAGTGAGAGAAGTATGATTCTTTCTTTCACTTGAACACTTAGAGACCATTTTAGGGTTCTGAATTGGCCTAATTCGATATTGCTATGTCTCAGGGAATAGAGAGGCCTGAGGAGAAGGAGAGATATGGGGAAATAGCTGGTCAGTGAAGCAGTCAGAACACACATAACATTTATTGAATATGTTTTCTCTCTTATATGGGCACAATTTGTGGTGTCCTAAAACAATATAGTAACATCACAGATAACTGATCACAGATCACCATAACAGATATAATAATGAAAAAGTTTGAAATACTTCAAGAATTATAAAAATGTGACACAGAAATGTGAAGTGAACACACATTGTTGAAAAAAAAAACAGTGCCAATAGATTTGCTAGACACAGAGTTGCCACAAACCTTCAATTTGTAAAATCACAATTATCTGTGAGGCATAATAAAGTGGAGTGCCATGAAATAAGGTATGCTTGTGCTTAAAAACATACATTTAATTCTATGTTCAAGTTAATAAGTTTTTTAATGTATTTTTAATTTTTATTTTGAGTATAAAGGCTGTTTATTAAGAGCATTAAAGTATAATGTATAATAAACTAGAAACATGTCTTTGAATAAGTTACATACATAAAATATGATACCTTTCAAAGATATTCATTAATTTAGGAAATTTGCTAGATGTCTACTGAGTAAGGCACTGTCCTAGGTGTTGGAGATGAAGCTGATTAAGGCACAACCCTCCTTTTGAGGATCTTATAAACTAGTAGAGTTTTTCAAGGTATGGTACAACAAGCGAGCTAGAAGTGATATTTAATGTAAAGAAGAGCGAATACTTTTTGCCTTGAGTGTTAGTTTAGTTGTCTTTGCAAAAGCTTCTTTCTTTTCATAATATGAGGCCTCATTTATAAATACTGGGTACACCGTACAGTCTCCACCCAGTGGAATAGTCTTCCCATCAAGTGTTAAAAACACCGGATCCCCAGGGTGCAATGGTTTCCAGTCTTGATCCTCTCAGGAAACAATTAAAATAAATAAATTACATTTGGTTTTCCTCCTGTTTTAAAAATTCATGTCACTCTAGACAACTCACAAATTACAGCATTCTATTCTTTTAAAAGAGATGCTTGAGAGGTGTACTGAGAGGCATATGAGTGATCTGACTAAATTGAAATTGTGTAGTTAATTTTGGTAGCAGTGGCAAGAGGTCCCCTTTTGATTTTTATAACTGACACATGTAATTAAAGCTTGCTTCAATACCAAGTTTACCTTGAAATTTGCCAGAGCAATTTATAACATTTAAAGGCAAAACTGAATGCATGTCTACCTAAGTGCATAATCTACCTCTTGCCAGCTGAAGTTAAATGCTGTTCAGCAAAATTTAGGGAATATCCATTAAGAGCCTTCTGTGTGTAAGATATTCTAATATTACAGATATTAAAATGAGGCATGTTGTATGAGAGATTCTGTTCTTATGGGGATTGGTGAGGGTGGGATGGAATATCTAAGACAAGGTGGATACATTACAAATGTGTTCCCACATTAGGATAACAACTGAGTTATCTGAAAGGGATTTGGACCTCTGAGCCTTTCAGCGCCAATGGTGTCACATTGCAGAGACCCTAGAACAGATCTCAAACTTTCATATGTTTTCATTTCATCTGGAGATTTTGTTAAAATGATGATCCCAATTCTATAGGGCCTGAGATTCTGCATTTCTGGCATTTCCCAGCAGCAACAGCATCACCCAGGAATTTGTTAGAAAAGCAGAATTTCATTCCTCGTTGCAGACCTACTAAATAGAAATCTTCACTTTAAGGAATCTCCAGAGATTCAGACGTACAGCATTAGTGTTTGAGAATCGCTGCGTCATGGCAATTTTCTCAGTCCTGGCCATACATTATAATCACCGGGATGTTAATATTGTATACATATGTAGAGGGATTAGTTCCATGTCAGATAAATCAAATTAGAATCTCAAGAGTGAGGTCCAGGCATTGTTATTTTAAAAATTCATTTTAGAATTTGCTCATTTTTGTATATACTTCTATGAGTTTTGACACATGCTTAGCATAGTCATATAACCTATAACCATGTAGTCAAGATACATAATTATGTAACCCACCTCCTTTTCCTTCTCCAGTCCCTAATTCTACCCATTTATCGTTCACTTTTTTTCCCCACTGTTTTAAAGCCCCATATGATTTTATAGGGTATTAGTTTCAGTTGAGAACTACTGTTCTGGACCAGTGGTTTTCAGGCAGAGACATGCTCTAGACCACGTCTAGAGGAACTTCAGCACACATGTGGCTGGCCCCCACACGCAGAATCCTGATCAGTGGACTGCTACCCAGACCTGAGCCATAAGGAAATCACCTGGTGAACTCAATGGATTGTTTCCACCTTTATGAATTAAATCAGAATCTCTAGGGATAGGATCTGGAAATAAGGATGTTAAAAATGCTCCTTAGGTGCTTCTCACGTGGCTTGAGTTCAAGAAGCACTGTATCAGTAGTTTGTGATAGGTTCCAGCCATGGGGTGGGAGGACTCTAGGTGATTCCAATTAGCATCCCTGATTAAGAACCATCACTCTTAAAACAAAATCTGGACTCATAAGCATGTCCCTGCTTTGGCTCCAGAGTCTATGTTCTCTGCTTACTCCTACTCTCCATGGACACTGGTCTTCTTGCTGTTGTTCAAACACCTCAAGTTTGTACCTGTTCCCACATGGTTGGCTTCTCAGCTTCCAGGAGCTGGCTTCAGTGCCACCATCTCAGAGATGGCATTTTCTGATCACCCCATCTAACTGGAACCTTTTGTGACCCTCTGCTATCTTACCACTTAGTACAGTTTGATACAATCTGTACTGTTTACTTATTCATGGTCTGTTCTCCCCGATTAGTAAGGAAGCTCCATGAGGGACATTGCCTATCTTCAATCTCAGAATAGATTTATTTGTCATTCAAAAGTAATTGTTTAAATAATTAATCAATCAATCCTTCCTGTAGAGTTCTTAGTCCTTATTGAAAGAATTCTTCCTTGTCTATCCAATAAAACTACTCTTCCTAACATTCAAGACTTACTACTAACTCTATTTGTTACTGATCTCTTTACTCTCTCTTTTCAGCCTTTCCAGGATTATTTGTTTACTCAAGACTATCCTTAAGGACATCACAATATTCAAAAAATACTGGTTTAGCCTGTTATGACATCATCACCTCAGCCTTTGTTTCTTGTGCTTGATTATTTTTGTCATCTACAGTGCTTGCTTTCTTCCTTCTTCCCAATCTGTATCTTTCCTTCAAAACATTGCCTAAGGCTCCTTTTTCAGGTTTCCACCTGGGTCCCATTAGGCCACAAAGCAGGATTTACTCCACTAGTCAGCTACTTAATTAAGTTACAAGTCTGGATGACTATTAGAGTCATTAAATAGGGATTTGAACTGGATCACTGCTTTTTAACCCTGATCACCCAAGTCAGTTAGATCAGTTTATCTCAAAGTGGAGTCCTGGCATTGTTATTTTTAAAAAAGCTCTCTAAGTAATGTGTAGCCAGGATTGAAAGTCCCAGACCAGGTCTCTTCCATCTCTGAGGTCTGAGAGTATGTAGGGTAAACAATGGGGAACAGATGTCTTAGCTTTCTGGAACCTCTGCTCCTCTCTCCTTTTCCCTTTGTCTTTTTCATATTTAAACTTCCTACACTCTCCTAAGAGTCTTTTATTCCTCCTTCATTATGCCATTATTCATCAAACCATGCAAGGAGTAGATTCTAGGGTTTTGAGGAGAATCAGGGAATCACAGTAGAAAACATTCCAAAGAAAGAGATTCTAATTGTATTGCTAACTCATTGAGTGGATCACAGGGAGGTAGCAGCAATTTGGTCAACTGCAAATAACATTAGTTCTAGATCTGTCATTGATACCTGGATGGCCATGGGAAGGATCTAACTTCCAAGTCACTATTTTCTAATATTAAAATGGACATCATAATTTCTACCCATTGCACTTGAGAAGGATTTTCATTTTCACATCAGTATATCTAGACTACAAATTCCATGAGAATATAGACTATGCTCACTGGCATATTCCCAGAGCCAGCACAAGTTATACTCAATATATATAGGTGTTTGTGTGTCTTTCCTACATTGCAATGATTTTGAGAACATCAAATGAACTAATGCATGTAAAATGCTAAATTAACTGTAAAGTTCTACTTAGAGGTAGAGCATTATTATTTTCAATATTTTAAAGAAATGGCAAAAAAAAAAAAAAACCAAGAAAAAAAAAAAAGAAATGGCAAATGTTACCTGCAGATCAGGATGGATTACAGCAGAAATTTCTCCATTTTCATTTCTGGGGTAATCAACTTTCTCCATTATTTTATAGACCTCAATGGCACAGGGAGGAAATTCTTTTCCTATGATGAAAACAATATGCATAAACAGCATCTAAAAAAACCTTCTGTAAAAAGGGAAGTTGATAATTTTCTTTTATTAAATCATAGCAGTGTACATTAATACTATCATGGGGTACAGTGTACTGTTTCTGTATACAATTTGAAATACTTTCATCCAACTGGTTAATATAGCCTTCATGTCTTTTTCTTAGTTATTGTGTTAAGACATTTATATTCTACAATTAGAGAGATTCACATGTACCCTTATAGGATGAACCATAGGAGTGATCTCACCAATCTCCCTCCCTGTACTCACCCTCCCCCCACCCCTGCCCTCCCTCTCCTCTCTCCCCAGATTCCTGGGTTAAAATTGAGTTATAGCTTTCCTATGAAAGCTATAAATTAGTTTCATAGTAGGGTTGAGTACATTGGATACTTTTTCTTCCATTCTTGGGATACTTTACTAAGAAGAATATCCAGCTCCAACCATGTAAACATGAAGGAGGTAAAGTCTCCATCTTTCTTAATGGCTGCATAGTATTTCATGGTGTACATATACCACAATTTATTGATCCATTCGTGGATCGATGGACTCTTGGGCTTCTTCCATGACCTAGCAATTATGAATTGGACTGCAATGAACATTCTGATACAAATATCTTTATTGTAGTGTGATTTTTGGTCTTTTGGATATATACCTAACAGAGGAATTATAGGATCGAATGGCAGGTCTATTTTTAGATCTTTAAGTGTTCTCCAGATGTCTTTTCAAAAGGAACATATTAGTTTGCAATCCCACCAGCAGTGTAGAAGTGTTCCCTTTTCTCCACAACCATGCCAGCATCTGTGATTTTGTGATATAGGCTAATCTTACTGGTGTTGGATGATATCTCAAAGTAGTTTTGATTTGCATTTCTCTGATGGTTAAGGATAGTGAGCATTTTTTCATATGTTTGTAGGCCATGCTCCTGTCTTCAGAGAAGTTTCTCTTCAAGTCCCTTGCCCACTCTGAGAGGGGATCACTTGTTCTCTTCTTGTTAATACGTTTGAGTTCTCTGTGGATTCTGGGTATCAAACCTTTGTCAGAGACATAACCGGCAAATATCTTCTCCCATTCTGAGGATTGTCTACTTGCTTTACTTACTGTGCTTTTGGCTGTGCAGAAGCTTTTAAATTTGATGAAGTCCCAGTAGTGTAGTTTTGATGTTGCTTCAATTGCCCGGGGGGTCCTCTTCATAAAATTTTCGCCCATGCTGATTTCTTCAAGTGTTTTCCCTACACTTTCTTCTAGTACTTTTATAGTTTGATGTCTTAAGTTTAAATCTTTAATCCAGTGAGAGTCAATTTTAGTTAGTGGTTAAAGGTGTGGATCCAGTTTCAGTCTTCTGCAGGTCGCCAGCCAGTTCGTCCAGCACCATTTGTTAAATAGGGAATCTTTTCCTCACTCAATGTTTTTTTTTTTCCCCCACTAATGTTTTTAATTGGCTTGTCAAAGATCATATAACAGTAAGTAGCTGGGTTCATCTCTTGGTTCTCTATTCTATTCCATACATCTACCTCTCTGTTTTTGTGCCAATACCATGCTGTTTTGACCACTATGGATTTATAGTATAGTCTGATGTCTGGTAGTGTGATTCCTCCTACTTTGTTTTTCTTTCTTTCTTTTTGAGACAGAGCCTCAAGCTGTCACCCTGGATAGAGTGCTGTAGCATCGCAGCTCACAGCAACCTCCAACTCCTGGGTTCAAGCGAGTCTCCTGCCTCAGCCTCCCAAGTAGCTGGGACCACAGGTGCCC